ACAAACTCGCACCTGAGGCGCGTCGGCGCTGCCGAGTTCTTGGAAGGAAAATTTGAAGCGTGCGCGTACAGGCTACGGGTAATCTCCGGTCCCACATTCGCAATTTGACCGGCGGATGGATCCTCGGCTACCGATGAACGGTGCGTGAGAGTGACATGAGATATTTAACCTGTCAGAAAGGTTTTTTTTTTTTTCAAAAAATATATCAAACAATTTTTTTCTTTTTTTATAAGACCAAGGAATTTTTTTTTCTTTGCCAAGCTGATATTTACACTTCATATATATATTTTTTACAATTAACATTTTATATAATTTTTACTCTAAATAAGCATCCTTTATAATTTAAAATTCATAAAAAAACTCAAATTATAAATAAAATGAAAGTACAAATAAGATGTTTAATCATTAATTTTTAAATATTTATGTAAATTTTAATTTATAAAAAAGATTAACTAAGAATAAAAATTATTAAAGATTTTAATCGTAAAAAATATATATATAAAATATATAGTGTAAATAAAGGAATTCACCTTTTTTTAAAAAAAATTTTGATAATCTTGTGAGCAAGGCCGCAAGAGCTTCTCCTCACCAACTAAAATTCAGAATCAAAATACGTAATTTATAATTTTAGATTTTTAGTTAATTGAGTCACCTCTTGCAATAGGATGTTGCATTAATAATAGAAGATTACAATGCATCCATGGCTTATTATATAGGTATTACTTAAAAATAAAGAATAATAAAGCACAATCTTTAACACAAATTATATTTATGCCCTAAATTAATCTAGTTAATGCATATAAGAGCTAACAATCAAATACTTACATCATAACTCAAACTTAAGATATTTGAGTTATGATAATTAAGTCTCCTTTTAACATACTTCAACTAAATATAAGAAATTGATATGTGATTATAAAAGTTTAGAAAAATATAATATAAAAATATTACATTCTAAATTTCTATGCCTATTCGTAATACAGCAATCTCCTTCCACTAAATTACCTTACAAATATTACTATTCAACTAACAAATAATTTAAAAAATCAATAGTTTTCTTAAGTTCTCTAAATAATTCAATAATCCAAAATTGGATATTTTCCAAATCACATGAACAAGTTAAATCTCTTGCTATATGAAAAGTTATTTTATATTTTAAATTGTAT